CAGGCAGATCGACGAAGTACACTGCTGAGGGGAGCAGCGGGCGGGTCAGGAGAGGTCTGCCATGCCATGTGGTCACCTCCGGGGCAGGCGGGGATCAAACTCATGAGGAAGTGGCTTTAGCTTCTTAGTGTAGTGCTTTAACCCGCTGCGCTACCAGGGCCAACTTAATGACTTTTAACTGATAGAATTAAATCCAATCAGTGATGTTCTTGTTAAGAAATAGCAAGCATCTTGAGTAGATCAATAATAAGGAAAGACCTCCTATCTATGTATTACTTTATCTAAACTTTATAAATATCACCGTTATGGTTAAGTGGAACAGCAGGGTAAAACATGTGTGTTTATGTTTACCTTTCAATTTTGGAGTTTTACTTCTTGATCGTGGCTGTGGTGTCCTTAACATAGGAACATAGATTGCAGTAGACAAGAGGGTCTGCATCCCACTCTTGTTCAACTTGTTCTCACTAATTTGTGTTACTAAGAGCACACTTGTTTCAGTGTGGACTGTGCATTGGCTGTCCTCAGTGCATGGCTTGCCTCCTCTGCCTCCTTTAACCCTCAGCAGAGTCCTGTGGCTTCGGGTTTCAGATGTACTCTTGCCTAGCAGTAGGTTCTGAGTTCAACTGTGCTCCATAAAATACCAAAGCCCAAGTTAACTACTGTGTCATTGTCCTTTGTGACCTTGAGCTAATCACAAATATTACTCACCTGTGATTTTTAGTTCCAGACAGCTTTGGAAGTTGCTAGGCTTTTCATAACTTACCTGTTAGCAGAATGAACCTAATAGATGAAAAGCTATTTATAGCCATTCATTCCCATTTAGGATGAATATTTATACCTGTGGCTGCAAAAATGTATTCAACACTCCTGGAGGTGTTCCGAAATATATGGCATTTACACACGTTAACTTTCTTAACACATAAAACTTACACGCAATTCTGAGATCTCCAGCTTTCCCAGGAGACTTTGTTTAATACTCACAATACTTTCCTTATCTTTAGAGATACTAAGATCTAACCCAGTAGTTGGTCTTAATAAGAATGATAGGAACTAATTGACACATGCTGTACCCATTTGAAGTGTTCTGTACATACTCATCCTATTTGTTGAAATTGCTACTGTCGCTATCTTGAGGTTTCTGTGCGGCTACTGTCACTTTCTTGAGGTTTCTGTGCAGCTATGCAGAGTTTCAGTCTTAAAGCTGGAATGTGCGAAACTGGTAGAGTTTATTGTGCCTGCAGCTGAAGCCCTGCCCTGCCCCTTGCCTGTGCGGGTTGGTAGGACACCATGCCTTTGGTAGGAAGCTGTTCGCCCTGCCCACCTCATGACGGTTAGGATAGCAGCAACATGTACTTCCCTTTCATGTTATGGCACACCTGGAAAATTCTTTACTAAGGTGAGTGAAGAGAAAGGTGTCTGCAGTCTTTCATTTACTTTGGTTACTTTATCTGCCAAATTGTACATTTCAAATCAGTTGAGAAAGCCTAGTAAACCTAGGAAATATAATTTTTTTCAGCAATTATATCTCTTATTTGTTTGTCTTTCGGCAGTCAAGAATAAGATGGAGTGACTGCTTTACAAAATGTATTTTTAAAAAATATACAACACATATAAGTTGGAATTATGAAGAAACTGACACTGTCTTGGAATTTCCAAACCATTCCCTAGAGTAAATAGGACCAATAATAAGATTGAATTAAAGCATTTGTATTCTTAAAGGGCTGATACTTCTTTCTCCCCAAATATTACAGTAATAATTATATGGGGGTTGGGTAACTATCAGTCTTTAATTTACAAATTTAGAACTTGGCTTTCAAAAGTTGTTGGGAATAGGGATATGGAAAGTTTCCCATTATCTCCCCCTTTTAGTGGCGAGTCTGCTCAAGCTGGGATCTGTTTCAAGAGGAATTTTTCAGAGATAAAATATTATTTCTAACAGCCTTACAAATCCATCTCTCTTTTAATATGTTAAAAGTGTTATAATTGTGTTTACCGCCTTCAAACACTGTGAGAAGAGTGGATGATTCTGTAATAGCCCATAGCTTAGAAAATTGTTATGTGTTAATTTGGAAAGAATGTAACTGGTGTTCAGCACTTTGAGCCAGGGCATGTTACTGACTAGCTGCACAGCTTGCCTTTTCACAGAATGTTACACCTTCATTTAAATCATAAATCTGAATTATATTACCATAAAAACCTATCAATGTTCTAGAATAATGTCATAATTTTTAATAAGAAAACAAGCAGTAACAAAAATTGATTCCATTATAGGGACAGAAAATAAAGATAATTATAAAACTGAATTCCAGAGTATATGAAGTCATTATGACTGAAAGTCGTGTCTTACACATGTACTTTATATTTGAAATTTTATTATGATTGGTCTTCCCTATCATCCCCATAGGCATATTACAAAGGTAAATATAGCCTTCTGTCAACTTTTCATAATATATTTGACCTTGGAAATGTGGAATGTTGGTGTGTTAGAGTTTAATGATTGCAAAGCTACAAAAACTGAGTATTCTATCTTGTGGAAAGTGGTAATTCTTGGTAAGCAAAGTTTGCACGACAAAGTGTGAAGTCTGAGGGGGATGCTGAGTGCTAGTGAAGTGCTCACCAAGTCACTGGCACTGTGGGTGCAGGTGGACAGCAAATTGGATGAGGACTTGAAGCAGTGTGTAGAATGTGGACCAGGGCCTGCTTCCTCCCAAACAGTAAAATAGAATATCTTTGGATAACATTTCTCAGAATTCAGAACTCACTTTTTCCTTTCAGAAAGTGGAAGAATGGGAGAAAAATAAGACTGAAGCTGACATGGAAGAATATACATGGGACAATAGCTCCTCAGAAAAAAATGTCCTGGAAACTCTTCTTCAAATTAGAGCTGCTGAGAAACATCAGGAAGTAGGTAAAGAAGAGCTCCTGGGCACTAAAGAAGTTGAGGATTACAAGAAGTCTGTTATTAGTCTGAAGAATGAGGGAGAAAATGAAAAGACCCTTTCTCAGTACAAAGAATCGGTGAAGAGGCTATTTAATTTGACATGAATTATGTAAAAAACTTTCCTTTATTAGTTTTATGATACATATGTTCTCCTCTAATATGATATAAAATTGAAAATGTTATTAAAAAGCCATTGTTTTACATCAGAGTTAAAATTATTCTTTTTATAGTAATGTGCAAAGGCAATGATGATTCAAATTTTTTCTTGTGTACTGGGGCAGTGGACTTATTTAGAAGATCTCTGATTTCTCCTGATTCTAAAGTGTTGATTTTTGCTTCTACTGTAAATAACTTCAGATTCAGACTTGTACATATACTGTCTTGCCACCTATTACATTTCCTTTTTTACTCATTAGCTTTTGATTGCCTTTGAGTGATGACTTTGGTTGCTTGGGAAGTGAGACCCAGTACCAAGTTGCTCTATTTACATAATTGGAAGTGGGTCTTTTCATGGTGTATTAATAGTAGGTGCAAATGCAAACAGAGGGATAGCTTTGTGTAATAAAGAAGTTGGTCCTGGGCCTTTCTGGTGGTACAGGGGTTAAAATCTCTGCTATCAAGCTGACCCACATGGTGCAGCAGACCTCTCTGTCTCACTTGCTACTCTCCTCAGCAGTATATTTCAGTAGATCTGCCTGTTCTGCTCCCCAGTCTTGTCTCTGGTGCATCCTCTCACCCCACTGTACCTCTAGCCTGTACCCCAATTCTTGTTATGCATAATTAAATAACCCCCCCCCTTTTTTTTCCAACAAAGTTGTTCCTGCCCTCCAAAGGGAGATATGCCCTTTGCTTCAGCTTCTGGGAGGTGATTTTGTTCACAGAATGACTTTGTGTTTAGCAGGAACCAGTCACCATGGATTTTGGGGTAGGGCTGGCCACCCCTGACATCTTAAGTATGCCAGAAAAACTAGCCAGGTGATTTAGGGTGGGGGCTTCAAGTCCATCCTTCAAACACCCAAGAAATCAGTCAGTCATACCTAATGAGGTCATGGAACCTCATTAAAAACTTTGGACAGGCTTCTCAGGAGGCCGTAGTCTGGTCATATTGTAACCCTTGATGCTGAGAGAGTAATGCATCCACTTTTGGGGACATCAGAAACTAAGTTTGACATACTTCTGGACTTCACTCTGTGCTTCTTTTGTCTGCTGATTGTAATCTAGCCTTTCTTGTAATAAAGTGTAACTGAGTATAGAGAGCAGCTTTCATTGAGTTTTGGGAGTTCTAGTGAAGGACTCTGGTAGTTTCACATTTATACTTGGTGCTGAAATGAGGGTGGTTTTGTAGAGAACTGTGCCCTCTGACTTATGCCATTTAGCTAATGGGGCATCTGACTTGAGGACTCTTCCCTTTCTACAGCATTGACTTCTAATGGCAAAATCTTAGAAATGTGAGTCGAATATGAAATTGTCTCCAACAGATAACCATTGCTGTCATTGTCATTTTAGCAACAGTTAAACAGCACTCTTTATTGTTAGTTAGATCTTCGTCCTTTAAACTATTGATCTAATGTGTGCAATGAACATTATCATATTATTTGTCCTTATATGGAGGTTTCTAGGCTAGGACAGGCTTTCTATGTTGATATGTAGACACTTCTAACTTCAAACTGTTGTTTAGATTAGAAATTGCTTTTAAACAATTTGGCAGCTAAGAAAGAGGACAGGTATTGTAACAGAGTGGGCAGTGAGAGGGGGACCCAGAACCCCCAAATCTGTCTGCTCTAAATAGGTGCTCTGCCACATCAAGACAAAACATACAGACCTTTAATGAAAAGAAACTTTAATATAGTTGGTGTGCAATACAGAAAAGACAAAGAATACAGTTTCCAAATAAAGCACCCAAAGCTACCCATCCTCTCATGGATAAAGTTCACCCAAACGGGACTGGCCAGAAAGCCTGCAAGGATTCTAAACTACCTCCTGGTAGGGACCCATAAAAAAGGGTCAGTAAAATCCAGACAAGTCTGGGAGGAAAAATGCAAAATCAAGATAAAAACTACCTGTGTCGTGTCTCTTTCCTGCATCTATTTCACCCAGTTCAAGACCAGGAAGAAAGCACAGTTTCTTCACATGTCTCTCTGCTCCATGGGCCTCCTGTAGATCTCCTCCTTTTCTTATCCTGCTTCCTTCCTTCCCCAGTCTCCTCTGCAGCTTCTTCTCTTTACTGATCAGTTTCACCCTCCCTTGGGTGGTGCTGGGAACTGGGAACCTCTCCTTTTCCTCTGGATACCCTGTAGAGTGCTTTAATAATTTTTTGTACGTTTTCAGTTTTGATGAGCATTTCACAATACTGGACCATTGCAGACTTTTCATAAAAAGGCTGGCTAATTACAGTACTGGAGATTTCAGTATCCTGACTATTAAGCAAATGAGTATAGCCACCTTAGCCACAGTTGTTGACTGGTCCTTATCTCTTTGTTTTTTAAGACATCTCGGTATTCACTTAGGACTTCTGTATGGCCCCACTGATCCCCAGGTAAAACATGGTGTCTAAGCCATTGGGTTAGCTCATTGGTGATTCTGGTCTGGTGACCACTCTGTCTGAGTTTACTCACTTTATCTGATAAGCAGAGGTCGACTTTGGACAAGAGTAGTTCGTTTTCAAACGAAATAAGATTTTTCCAAGTTACGGGGTTTTCTATAAAATAATCTCAATTTTAGAGAGTAAAATTCTGAGAAAAACTAAAGGAGAGAAACCTTTTTTTTTTTTTGCCTCCTATCAACCCTAGTTAGTTGGGAAATCTTTAAACAATTTTACATATATGTTTGCATTAAAGAAAATAAATGCAGAGGGCCACAGGAATTTGATTTTTAAAGATAACTTCCTGAATTTATTTAAATACAATTTTAAGATAATTAAAATTGTGAAATCCCGCTTAAACAGCATGCTTTTCCTCCATAATGTATCAAGAAAGATTGAGAAAATTTGATACTTATGAATAGCATGTAAAAGTCAGTTGATTAAATTTTATTTAATTTTTTTTTTTAAGATTTATCATTTATGCACTCAGAACTGGAGTACAAGCCAGAGGTGCAGGGGCAGTGAGAGGGATTCACCAGAGAGAGAGTGGAAAGCAGAAAAGGCAGATCGAGGAAGTACACTGCTGAGGGGAGCAGCAGCAGGTCAGGAGAGGTCTGCCGCGCCATGTGGGTCACCTCCCGGGCTGGGGATTGAACTCAAATTAAAGTGGCTGCAGCTAGCTTGCAGTGCTGTGTCTTAACTCATTGTGCCACCAGGGAGGGCCCTGATTAAATTTTTTTAATTCAGGCTTTTATTTGTGGTTAGTAAGCTACTCAGACAGATTTTGTGTATTTTGTACAAAATTTGTATAATCTGTATTTCTTTTCTCTTGTATTAAAGGAAAGACATTTTCTTTCAATAAAAACATTAGAGAAAGAAAAAAAATATCCCTCAACCTATTTGTTTTAACATCTTAGGAAACAATTGTTACTCATTACTTATGCTAATTTGCTATTTTTAATATAAATGAAAATGAATTTTATTCCCACTTTCCTCTCTTCCTTCTTTCTCCCTCCTCCTCCTTTCTCCTTCCTCTCACTTCCCTTTTCTCCCCGACCCTGATCCTTACTCTCCCTACCATGAGAAGAGATGACAGTTTGCCATTCAAAATCATTACAGGTTACAGTGTTCAACACTTAAACACGTAAGATTTAGGGCCTAAGTGGGTGTAAGGAGTGGACAGAGCTGGGACACCTAGAGCTAATAATGAACGCCAGTGAAACTGTGTAGACAAGGGTAGATGTAAACTAAAACCCCCAAACTTTAAACAGAAACAACACAAAATTCGAAGCTTTCACAGCTGTAATATTGAAAGACATGAGTTTTAAAAAAATGGAGATGAAGGAGTAGGACTGAGGACTATCAAGTCACACGTTGAAAACTGAGTAAAACCAGGAAGCGTTTGCTTTGAGGTTATTAATGGTAATAGTGCTCCTCTGTGCTCAAACCACTGAAAGATTGTGTTAACATTGGTGACGTTAATTTGACCTTGAATGGAGACAAATCTTCTATTACAATGTTTTTCTCCCTTTTCCTTGCTTACTTGAGTGAATGGTGTTTTCTAGTCTAACTGATCTCATGCATGGATTTCAAACCAGTTTGCCTATTAAATCCTGACTCCACTACTTAACTAGCTCGGTGACTTCATCTGTAAGACATAGTAATGGTTAATAATAATAAACCTAATGCAGAGAGTTATAAGGATCCAATGAGTTAATATTTATGTACAGAACTAACTATAGTCTCTCATTTGGTGCTAAATAACTTTGGGGTCAGAATTTTGCAACTTGGACAAATGAGGTTTTACTACTCAAAAAATTGGAAATAATCAAAAGAGCAGTTCCAGCTATCAAGGAGGGCCCTTACTCTTTTAGAGGTCTGCAGGAATAGTCACCCTGAAATTACTTTTTTAACCAAACTGACCTTTCTTACAGAAAGCTAAAAGCAAGACTCTTAAGCTTACACTCTCTTTTCAGCTTTTACTATAAGAGTTCTCTTCAGAGTGTTAACAAGTCTTAATGTGCCTGGATCCTTACTTTCGCTGTCCTGGTTTATATTGGCCCCGCTGCTTTTGACAGCATCCCCACGTCAGGATGGCTGCACAACAGCCGAGAAACATGACAGCAGAGCATAGTGCCACAGGAACCAGCCACAAGATCCAGTCCCCAGGGGTGCCCCCGGGTGTGGCGTCATCACCCTCAGAGGTCCAGTTTCTGCCATTGTGCCATTTGGTTTTGTTTGGTAATTGCTGGCTACTATTGAGCCTAGTTGGAGCAGGCATATGAGAAAGTTTTCTGTCCGTGGGTACGAAGAGAGGAGAAATAGTCTTGTTACCTGCATTATTGATAGCATCAGTGCTAGGGGACACTACATTTACCTCCGTTGGGATGGAATCCTTGAAGGAAATGAATCTTGCCCAGGAATCTGTGGGCATTTCTTTGGAAGACCTGGTATCATCAGTGGTTGTAATCAAATGATATGTGGTTGATGGTAGAGTTTCTATTGATGGTAGCATTGTACTGATTATGTTGTTTGGTTGTTTTCCTGAATTCACAGCTTTTAGAATCCTTACTCTGTCCCATTTGTTAGATGAAGAACGGGTATTTAGATAGGTAGGAGATGATTGTTCAAAAACCAGCAAATCTGGATCTAAACCTGAAAAAAGAAATAAGGCAGCACTGATGTTATTTTTAATTTAAGAGAGGACCATAAAGGACAGTTTAGAGAAGGCAAAACTGATTTCTACCATTACAGACTTCTGAAAGACCTTGGAACATGCTGAGTGCACTTGAATTATCTTAACTTTCTAGGGCACTTTCTCTTATGAACCAGTTTGGCACATCAGGAAGAATACTTTGGGTCTGCCAGTGCTTTGGGGGAATAATACCAAGTTAATACAAGAGGGGCAGAAACAGGGCCCTCCCTGGTGGCACAGCAGGTTAAAGCGCAGCACTGTGAAGCTGTCCGCAGCCACTGCAGAACTAGTTTGATCCCCAGCCAGGGAGGTGACCCACATGGCATGGCAAAACTTCCTGACCCGCCCACTGCTGCTCTCAGCAGTGTACTTCAGTTCATCTGCCTGTTCTGCTCTGTCTTTGGTGAATTCTCTCACCCCTCCAAACTTTTAATCTGTGCCCAGTTCTTGTATGCATACATAAATATATCTTCAAAAGAAAAAAGAGGTGTAGAAATAACCTTTGAGATAACCTTTGAGATATGTAGTGTTTTAAAATAGTTAAATAATAGGGTCTGGAAAGTATAACTATACTGAAAATCCTGAGTGAAATCCCTCTCCTCTTTCTAGTCCCTGAGGGTCCTTTTCCTTAAGTCCTTCTCCTCAGACTTCCAACATTTACAAATACTGCTGCTTTTAAGCAGTATTCTGGTCCTAACCAGCTGTGTTTTGGTTGGCTGTATTTTCTCTTCATCTCACTCCCCTGCTACCATCAAATGTCGCCATGCCACTGCTGGCAGTGAAAACCACATTGGCTTTTTCCCTTTTTTAAACTCTGGTTTGATTTCTCGTGTTGCTGGAGTTTCCCATCAAGATGTTTCATAGTATCACCAAGCATCCCCAAAGCCAAAATCATGTCTGCCGCTTCCATTCTTCCTCCCCCAGGCTGGACTCTGCACTGCAGAGTGATTCCAGTCCCTCTCTCCTCTGCCTTCAGAAAGTCAGTCCAGTGAGTTCCTTCCCAGTGTACCGGTTGGCAGTCACCCTCTTGATTTTGTCTGGGTCAGTGCCTCCCGGAATTGGTTTTCAACTACATCCTCCAGTCAGGTAGCTGCCCATGTCGCTTTAAGGCTGGCATTTTGTCATTCAGTTCCATTCGTTGGTTCCTTATTCCTGATAGTCTTAACTCAATTCCACGCTGTCAGAACCCTTATGTTACCCTCGATGAGCTCACACAGGCCAGTCCCTGTCCTTCCTGCAGTGGCATATGAGGTCCCTGTCTTTCCCTGCCTGGCTCTGGAACCCCACATCATTTTGTTGGCTTGAATCTCTGCTGCTTTTGAGGGAGGTGGAATCACATTTTTGCTTTCAAGTGCATTTAGCATTAATCCTACATGTGCCACTGAGACTTGTCACATTGACTAGATTCGAAGGCTCTGGGATCATAAAGGAGCAGAGGGACTGAGGTCCCTGACTGATGTGATTTTCTAAAACTAACAGACGCTGGCCATCTAGGGACAGAGAATTTAGTGGGCATGAACATAGGGGCATGTGGCCCCGTCCCTGCTCTGTCCTGGCGGGATGCTGATGGACCTCGTAGCGGCTGCCTCCACCTTCTTCATCTACTAGTGGCTTCGCAGCCACTGTGGGGGCCCCAGAAACTCTACTTGGGCTCTTACTTACTTGGGCTTTTGGGGTTAAGGAGATGAGTGTTCCCAAGCATGTTCAGTTACGTAGGAACTGCATGCTGGGTGGCTTTGTCCTGGCTGTACCTGCCAAGTAAAGGAACCCCCCTTCTCAGTTGCTGCCCTGGATGCCCCCAACTTTTCCAGATAAGGTTCCCTAGAAAATAATGATTTGGGGGTTCAGACATGGTGTTTGCCAACCAGCACAGACATATAGAAAAGGTTACCATCAGTGATGTTGTACAGGACCGCTCCAGTGGCGGGGGCCAGGACACAGCTCTCCAGTGCAGGGCAGTGGATGTGCAGGCAGTTGGCACTGTCATGGATGGGGTCGTAGTAGAAGACAGCCAGGTTACAGGAAACTGGAGAGACAGGCATAGCACATGGCTGTGGCCCCGGCCACCCGCCACCCTGTCATGAATGTGAGGTTCACACACATTCCAGAACATGAACAGCTATGTCAGCTGTTTCTGTGAATACATAAAATGCCTTTTATGAAAAAGGACCTGCTGATCTTCTCTAAGTAAAAAAATTCAGTGGGCTTCAAGACCCACTGGGAACTTATAGCTCTATCAGATTTCCAGGTGTGGTGTCCTGGCGGGAGTGTACTCGAGAAAGAAAAGGGGAAATGGAGAGACATGGGATAGCAAGTCATGGGGAAGGGGGCCCGCAGGCAACACCCTTCTTCTTTGATGGGGTGAAGGCCAGATGAGTCATACCTGACCTGACCCAGGTACACACTGGCTTCCAGTCGCACATCTACATCCAGAGATAAGTCTCATTCAGGTCCATCAGAGAAGGAGCAGACAGAGAGGGTGCTGGGCCTGAGATTCTAGAGGGGAGGGGCACCACACCCGCTCATTCCTTCTCTCCCTTCCTAAGTCAGCTTGCTCTTTAAAACACATCATGTGGGCCCTCCTTCGTGGCTCAGCTGGTTAAAGCACAGCACTAAGAAGCTAAAGCCACTGCCACATGAGTTCAGTCCCCACCCCGGAGGTGACCACATGGCACTGCAGACCTCTCCTACCCACCCACTGCTCCCCTCAGCAGTGTACTTCGTTGATCTGCCTGTTCTGCTCCCCACTCTGTCTCTGGTGAGTCCTCTCACCGCCCCTGCACCTCTGGCCTGTACCCCAGTTATGTATGCATAAATAACATCATGTTATTTCTGGGGAGCGGGGGCAGATTTGTGGAGTGGAGTGTAATGTTCAGTCTGCTCCCCACTGTGGTATCATAGGAGGGGCTGTATGACAAGACTGTCCACTGGCCAAAACCTCTCAAATTCTTTAATACGATGACAGCTGGACAACACTTGATACCAGACCTCAGAGCACAGCTAAAACTGCTGAGGACTGGCGGAGGTTGGACCCATACTGTTTGCGTGCCAGCTCACCCACACAAGCCCTCTCTCTCCTGTTCTTTCTGGAGCACCCCATGTTTCTGCACCCACTTTTTCCAGAAAGAGAAATAATTGTGAAAATAATAATACATCACCAGTATGTCATAGATGACACACATATTCCCCGAGGACTGTGCTTTCAGGTGGACATGAAAGGAATAGGACAGATTGGCGTTTACACAGATCCGTTTCTGGTAGGAAGCTGTTGTAGCTGTGAAGACAGGTCCTGGGATCACGGTCCTGCACCCTGCGGAGGACCAGCTCAATGCGGGTGCGCTAGGGCAGGACTCGGGCATTTTGAAGTTGTGGTTTCTGGCTAGAAGTGTGTGTGCGCACCCAGTTTTGGAGGAAGAAAGCTGCAACTTGGAAGCTATGGAGTCTTCACAATTATAAATTCTACTGGATGTGCCTAGTATCTTTGGGATTCGGGCGAGACAGGAGAGGTTTGCTTCCTAGTCCAAGATTGAATTCAGGCCACAGTGGAGATAGTGTGGTAGCCCTTTGCCACTAGGGAGACCCAAGGCTGGGGGAGGGCAGGGTAGAAGAAGACCACTTTAAAATATTGTCTCGCTTTTGTTGTTTGCTTCCAGGTAGATTGAAAATTGTAGAAAAATTAAAAATACATGAACAATGTCTATTTGTCAAAATTGGGCAAAATTACAATTTTCCTAAAAACTGGGCCATGTTAGACAGATGATACTTAATCCTGATTTCAGACAAAAACAATCTGTTAGAATATATTGAAAATTAATTTCTTCCTTTCTAACTTCCTTCTTGCCTCCTCCCTGTTTGCTATTTGACATCTCCCAATTTTCTTCAAGCATGAATCACAATCTACATTCCTATTCAATACATCCCCATACTTGGTCAACCCAAGCAGCCGCATTCAAAATTTAAAATACCAATCTCACTAAAAGGTCTCTGAAAGGAAAATTATTTACAAATATGTTTGAAATGAAAATATGCACTATTTGGGGGGCTACAAACATAGTTAACCTTAGAGGAAAGATTCTCATTTTGCACTTTAGTGAAGAAAGGGGGGCTGCTGGCACCTGGGGGCACCACCACTGGGTTATTATTGCTGCCTGCAGTCTCTGTGTCACTCCTCTCCCTCATTCCAGGGAATCTCCCTAGGCCTTTCCTAGGCCTCAGCCCCTGCATGGGGCTGCTGACTAAAGTCTTCATTCTGCAGCCCCTGTGGTTTGCTCAGCAGTAGGGGAAACTTACCTTCTTTCCTCAGGCAGCAGCTCCGACTGCACTTCTGGCCAGTGTTTTCAGTGTAGTACTTTAAGAACTGGGCTCCCAGCTTCTGAGACTCTTCCAGGTCAACAAGAAGACCTGGGAAGCGCCGGATCCAGCAGTTTCTATAAAATATGGTGGGTGAGCAGAGCGCATCTGTGGCACACCCCATGCTCAGGAACAGCAACACCCCCACCGCCACCGTGCTGTGCATCTCCCTGGTGTGAGGACCCGGCAAGGTTGTGCTCCTCAGGTGGAAGCCAGGCTGACTACAGGTGCTAAGACGGGTCTGGAACACAGGGCTGTGGCTCAGGACAGCTTCTCTGGGGCTTCTCCAGAGGGTCACCTTTAGAGAAATAGGCCGGGTTTGACTGCACAGTCATTCTTCTGTTTCTTCCCAGTTGAGCCCCAGGTTAACATGGGGCGTTGGCCCTTTCCAGGTCATTGCTGTCCTCGGTCCCTCAGCCTCTCGAAGACGCGACTCACTCCTTTGCTGCTTTTCTTTCTCTGACAGTGAATAGTCACAGACACCTTTTACTAAGGAAATAGAAAGATAAGTGGAAATGGTAGTCCCCTGTGTTTCTGGGGGAACAATAGTTCAGTCACTTGATGTTGGATAAAGGGAGGATTCATTTCACCAGAAACAAAACATCATTTTGTCCGGACACTTCTGTATGACTTTAAGGAACTTGTGACTGCCAATTTTTTTTAATCGTCTTTTTTTCTCCTCCTTTGAATTGATGTTCTCGTAGTCAGGTTCACTGGAAAATCAAGCCCTTAAGCCCTCAAGGGCTTAAGTTTTTTAGTTTTACTAAAAAATAATCTTGAAAGTAAGTGACAGCTCAGAATGGAATAAGAACTAAGAATTTAAATTTGACAGTGATTTTGAAAACATTACTAGAATCCTGGTTACTTCTTGGAACCAAGCATTTTTTGCAAAGGCCAGCTACAAGCTTTCGTCAGAGAAGAACATCGTTATAAAACAGTCTTCAACAACCATGGAGGTATTTATCATTCAATCATGAATTAACTAATGTGATTTGCAGTGCAAATCATGAAGACGTTCAAGCTAAGACTGTTTGTTCTGTGTCCTGTTAGTCTGGTTCTCCAATTATGAAAAGGAGATTTCTTTGAAAGACATACATAAAGGCAGATATAGTGTCTCTGTTTGGAGCAGAAGAAATTGCTAAGAAAGATGCATGGTGAATGAAAAGGTAGTTTTATATTTTTAAATATTAGTGAAATTACTTCAGTTGCAGTGCTCAAATGTGTGAAAAGATATTAAAAGTTTTTGAGGCCCCTACTCCTTCACTTGTCACAAAAGTGTGAACATTCTTTGAACTTTCATCTCACCACCTGCTTCCTAATAATAGCCTAGTTACCACATTTTTTGAGATTAGAAACAGGTGGTATTATTAATTGATAGTAAAGAGGAAAATATTCACAAGACTGAATAACATTAGCAACAAAACAGCTCATTTCTTTTGAGCTAGATAATGTCATGGACTAACTCCCAACCTTGCAGAAGCCATATGAAATATACTAAAAATGATCAATTTTATCCTACTATACTTCTCCTAAAAAACAAGTATCAAGTTTCTTACCTTTTAGCAATCAGTGTCCCATCTGGTAGGAGGGCAGAAGGAAGAGAGCTTCCCTATGACAAAGGGAGAGACAGGTGAGGGAAAATGACTGCCTTTCTCCTGAGATTTCCCCAGCTATTTTGATTAGCTCCTGTCCTAGGATATAAACTGGAAAGTCTACTTTCTAGCCATGTAACCTCCCGTCTTTCAGTCACATTAAATGCAGTTTCTTTTGTGGGATCTGTAATTTCTTGCAGTTCTCATGTTTCCTGCAGGGGAAAAGGAACAATCCACAATTGTTTAATCCTTTTACCATCAAATAATGTTCAAGTCCAGATCAGAGTTGCATTTTCAATAATCTCTACATTCTGATATGAAAGCATACCTGACTAACTTTAAAGTGATATAGTATAAACACTGAGTCTAGAAACAGGTAACCTGTTGAAGGCAGGTATTTTGCCGGACTCCAGGGAAATATGACTTAGAAGTTACCATGTTCATAGAGGTGAAACTGTAGAAGCCAGGAAGCCACTGCAATACTTAAAAAAAAAAATCCATATTCTTTCAATAAATTTCAATAAACTATGACAGGATTACATTGCAGAGCTATTCCAACTGGATGCTTTTAAGAAGGGTTCAAAAATTAGATTCAGATCTTAGAACAACTATCTCCCCCAAGAGCTGGATGTAGAAGGTCTGGTTTAAGAACCAGAATTCTTATTTTTAGAAATGCACAGGTGATTTCCTAAGATGTTTGGAATCACTAATGTAGATGACAGGGATAAGTAGAAGTTTTACCAATACGAAGATGCTCAACCAATTCAACAGAGCCAAATAACACCTGTGCAGCTTTACTCATTTTAGTGGCTCCAGATGCTTAATAAAAAGTAGTTATTTAATTTTTTGAGTGTTTGAAGACAAAAAGAAAGTTGCTTCAGGAATAATGGAGTGACTAAAAAATAATTTTTTAAGTGGTAGTAAAATAGCATAGATTTACTCCCATTGTTGGAAAAACACTATTTCATTCTTATTTTAAAGATGTTTATTGTTTTTAGTTAACATTTTCACTTCATCACCTCATAAAATGAATGGAAATTGTTTTTAAAATGAGACTTGAGAAATTTAAATGTCATGATTTTTTTCTAAAAATATTTTACTTTTAGTAAAATGATAGGCACTACTTAAAAAAATTCAAACCATGTAGGAAAGTACAAAGAAAAAAAATACTCAAGATCTTACAATGTCAACGGTTTGGTAAACCTTTTTTGAGACATTTCTATAAAAAAAAAATAGGTGTGTAGGGCCCTTCCTGGTGGCGCCCCGGGTTAAAGCACAGCACAAAGAAGCTTAAGCCACTT